CTTTTCAGTGACTGGTTACATTATGAATAGATAGATAGAACCAGACTGACGTGAAGCAGACCGAGGTAGACTTTGAGCTTACAAATGGCGCTTGAGCAGCCGCTATTAGTCCATACCTCATTAATGATCTGCCTCCAGACCTCTCCTACCACAAACATCATATTCACCTGAGTACATAACACCAACACACACAGAACGTCACGTAGCTTTAAAAAATTATTGACAGTTTTGGAAGCTGTAAACAGCTGTTTTTTCAGCGTTTCTATCGACTATCGCGAGTATATAATATATTGTTGAAAATAAGAATTCACGAATGAGATTTCGATCTTAACCTGGTCTCTGTGAACGATTCTGTGAATTATATTACTGTAAACCGTGAAAGTTGCCCGTGAAAGCGCGAGTTAGTTCAGGTTCACGAGGAAATGTATGTATATTATACTATGGTCAAAGACTTTGCCTAGAAGCGTGGCATGTAAATATGAGTCATCATGCTTTGAATAGGGATGACGGTGCCTATTTGCCAGAGGAATATATGCATCGCATTGGCAGGTGACGTCATCCCTTGGGTATTTAAGAAGCCACGATTGCAATTTTAGATCACCCCTGATGAAGACACTAGACAGGAGTGTCGAAAGGTTGGGTCTTGATTACAATTCGACTGGGCTTTGTAATCATTTATTTAAACCAGAGTAGCGAGCGAAACATGATTGCTATCAAGCTTGTTACAAGTTGTTAACAGCTTGTTCCAAACTTGTTACAACAACTGGGAACAAGCAGTGCGAACACAACTTGTCGACGCTTGTGAACAGATTTGCAACAACTTCTTTGCAGACCTGGAACAACTTGTGCGTTTTACGTGTGTACCCGGGCCAGCTCGCGCTTTAGTTCCAGTCTATAATTCCAGTCTTTAATCCTTTGTACTGCGTCGCTAGCGAAGTTCGCTTGCTTGACAACCCGGCCTAAATTTAGCGATGATTAAAAGCATTTGCATATAAAAAGCGAAATAATAACATATAAAACATAAACTATAACTTCAGGGAACATCTGCAATCTATTGATATACGTTTCAAAAACAAAGCGAAATTAAAATTGAATATAATTGCAAACTTCAAGTAAATGAATATTTTTCAATTTCGTTATTCCGTCGGAAAGATACTCATCTCAAAAAGTCTACTCGTCGACAATCGACATGCTATACGGCACGCCGTCTATTCCGTGGAATTGTGTTGAAATTATAACAAGTATCGTAGATCGAGTAAACTGATAAGGCAATTTTTGGAAATGTTTTTCGCATTGTGAAGCCTGGTCCTTATGGTCGTAACGGTCGTAAAGACTGAGTCACGATCTTTCTCATCAGCCGAAATACAACATTATTTTAGAACTGAAAATACGCGGCTTGATTATAACTAGAGAATATTTATGATTTATATGTGGTTTACAGGTATAAACTGTTATAAACTGGCCGTTGAGAAAGATCGTGACTCTATTTTTACAACCATTATACGTCCATATGGAAACCAGAGTAAGCCGGGCTGGCCCAATAAACTTTAATATTCCATCTAGGAAGCATCTTAAAATTCGAACCAAGTTAGGTCTCAACAACATTAAGACTCTTGAAGCAGTTTCCATTAATAAAAACTGATATTCTAACGAAATACTCAATATCACTGATCGTGTTGACACGTAAAAATCTCACAACTTGTCAACAAGATGTGTTCGCTATATAGGGGAGTGAATATAGGTTTTCGGATCGTCGGATTTCACAGAAAAAATTGTTCGGATTTCGGATCTGGCGAATATTTTAGACGGATTTGCGGATCTTACATTTAGCTTGCAATATAGTTTGGATCCTGGATTGTGACTTCATAGTAGAGCTTTTAGCGGATTCAAATTTAGACAAGACCATTGTCGGATCGCGGATTTTGCTTCAAATTTGGGCGGATCAACAAGTCTGTTGAGCTCAACAACCTTGTAGCAAGTTGTCAACAAGCCGGGAACAAGCAATGCGAACACATCCTGTCGACAAGTTGTTGGAACAGCATTGCATAACAACTTGCGGCCCGGCAAGCGAGTTTCTAGTTCTCTAGTTTCACAGTTTAGCCATTTTTTCGATAGCGCTACAGTGAAACTGACCCCACATATATATTATAAGAACACAGAATTTAAGAACCTGTTGGGCTAAAATTTCTAGTCG